GGCTACCTAGCTAAGCACTTTGTATTAAAGAGCTTCAATGGCTAGATATCAGCTTACGGGCAGGGCCCTCTCTACCTTTTGTATTTGTCTGTGTATATTGTATGTCCTCCACTAATTGTACAGTGCTGCGGAATCTGTTGGCGCTTTATAAATACCAGTAATAAATAAATAAATTGTGCAGTTTACATCATACAACGATCAACGTTTCGGCCACTTCAGGCTTTTATTATTATCGAATAAGTATATGATAATATATATTGTGTGTATATATATATATATATATATATATATATATCAAAAATAGAAAAGTCCTTGCACTCACGCTTGGATGATTTAATAACCGGGTGCTTGTAATCCAGGAAAATTCAAATAAATTCAGATAGTGATCAGCACTCACAGATTTTCAAGAAATGAAATTAACAATTTATTAAGTATCCATTAAAAGATCAACGTTTCAGTCCCAGCAGGGACTTTCATCAGGATCAGGCCTGATCCAAAATACTTACCAACGTTGACTACATCAACAAACGTCTTACACCAGTTAAAGTGACCTCACAAATTAATGACAAATACATACAGTTCCTTGACATTGAACTGATGGTGATCAATCAGAAACTGGAATACAAGTTGTATACAAAACCTACAGGCCGGAACACAATTTTACATCATTAAAGTTCCCATCCTAAACATCTGAAAAACTCATTACCCTTATCACAATTTTTAAGAGTATTTTGTAATAACTCCCAGAAAGAACAGCGTGAGGAACAACTGAAAATCATGTATGTTAAATTCAGAACAAGAGGATACAAACAAAATAAGCTGGACAAAGCCCTGGTTAAGGCTGAGTTAAAATATAGCTCAAAGGAGATCCAATGCCCCAAGAAATCCAACACAAGATTAGTCTTTCCTATGATATTCCATACGGCAAGTAGAGAGTTGACAGAATATATTAACTGGAATTGAAAAACCTTGAAACATGATCCTGCTCTTTCAGAAGAAATTTTGCAGAAGCCCATGTTTTGTTTTAAACGAAATAAAAACCTAAAGGGGCCTCTTGGTTAAGACGGACCCCATACACTGTTACAACCCCACCAAGCTTGAAAAGAATAATAATAGGTGTGTGAGGTGCTTGGGTTGTGTAACATGCGGACACTCGATCCCCTCAAAAACCTTCAACCATCCTCATATGGGTAAAACATACAAAATTGGTTACAGAATCCATTGTCGCACAGGGTATGTCATTTATAAACTTACATGCCTGTGTGGACTAAATTATATTGGCAAAACAGAGACTGCTCTATCCGAGAGAATCAGGGGCCACAGGTCAAGTATCCGACTTGCCTATCGTGAGGGCAGGCCCGGACTGGCCATCGGGCACACCGGGCAAATGCCTGGTGGGCCGCGATGTCCGTGGGGCCGAGGCTGGCAGGGGAGGTCCCAGGATCTCCCCTGCCGGTCTATGCAGGGCCAGCACTCTCCTAGCGCCGGCCCCGCTGTTTGCCACGACGGGCCGGTGGAGAGATCAAGGATCTCCCTGACCGGCCCACATGCGGCCGCCGGCGGGGAGGGAGCCAGCCAGCCAGGCTGGAGAGAGGACCCGGCGGAGCTCTAACTTGCAGCTCCGCCGGGTTCCTCTCGCGAGATCCGGCGTGTTGCCATGGCAACGACCGGATCTCGCGAGAGTGAACTCTAGCCTCACAGGCTAGAGTTCACTCACCCACGAGGACCACCAGGGAACCCCGCCTCCCCCCCTCCCAGTCCCAGCGTGCCGGTCCCCCCCTCCCAGGCTAAAGGTAAGAAGGGAGGGGGGGGAAATAATGACTGTTTTTTTAAAAAAGAATTTATTTACCCCCCCTACACACACACAATAACATTTATACAGCACTCTCACACCCATCACACACAGCACTCTCACACCCATCACACACAGCACTCTCTCACACAGCACTCACACCCATCACACACAGCACTCTCACACCCATCACACACAGCACTCTCACATCCAGCACTCTCGCACCCATCACACACAGCACTCTCTCACACCCATCACACTCACAGCACTCTCACAGCACTCTCACAGAGCACTCTCACACACACACAGCACTCTCTCACACAGCACTCTCACACCCATCACACACAGCACTTTCACACACACAGCACACTCTCACAGCACTCTCACACCCATCACACTCACAGCACTCTCTCACAGAGCACTCTCACACACACACAGCACTCTCTCACACCCATCTCACACAGCACTCTCACACAGCACTCTCACACCCATCACTCACACACGGCACTCTCACACCCATCACTCACACACGGCACTCTCACACACATCACACACACCGCACCCCTCACACACACATACTGCACCCCTCACATACACACAGAACCCCCACAACACACTGCACCACACACATACACAATACTTCCAAATATATATATATATATATATATATATATATATATATATATACACACACATATACATACACACACACACTACACTCTTAAAGGACCACTCTAGCCACCCAGACCACTTCAGCTTAATGAAGTGGTCTTGGTGCCAGGTCCTTCTAGGGTTAACCCATTGTTTTATAAACATAGCAGTTTCAGAGAAACTGCTATGTTTATCAATGGGTTAAGCCTTCCCCCAAAGCCTCTAGCAGCTGTCTCATTGACAGCCGCTAGAGGCGCTTGCGTGCTTTTCACTGTGAAAATCACAGTGAGAGCACGCAAGCGTCCATAGGAAAGCATTATAAATGCTTTCCTATGCGACCGGCTGAATGCGCGCGCAGCTCTTGCCGCGCGTGCGCATTCAGCTGACGGGGCGGATCGGAGGAGGAGAGCTCCCCACCCAGCACTGGAAAAAGGTAAGTTTTAACCCCTTTCCAGAGCCGGGCGGGAGGGGGTCCCTGAGCCACATATGCATCACATTACACCATAAACACAACACGACTAAAACCGACCTTATTACACAATACCACACCACGACCAGCTCACTCTACACACACGCAATACCACAAGCAGGCTCCAAACACATGCACAATACTCTTTCCTGGCCTTTTGTCTCCTGGTATCCATTTATAAAGACACCAGAGACAAGTTGCAAGGAAACACAGTGCAAGCATGTTATTAAATTTGCTTGCACTGTGCAGAACAAATACAGGACTTTTTTCTCATGCTAGAGCTCTTCAGCAGAGCTCTGCGCATGGTCTGCCCTGGAAGAGCATTGAACCAACATGCTCACTTTGAGAGGAGGCGTGTTTGTCATTGGTGATGACAAAACACACCTCCTCTGCCCCGCCCCCTTTTTAGTGGGCCGCTGTGTTAAAAAAATGCCCGGGCCGAATTTTTCTCCCAGTCCAGCCCTGCGTGAGGGTAAGTTGGACAAACCTATGGCCAGACATGTCCTTGAGAACCAACATCAGCTCTCCTCCTTATGATGTGTGGCAATAGATCATGTCCCCGTAGCAGCTAGAGGTGGTGATAGAGGAAGAATTTTGTTGCAACGTGAAGTATTTTGGATACTGGAATTAAACACATTATCCCCCAAATTGGAAAACAGAAATGTGATCTGTCCTAATAGTACCACTGAAATAGACAAAATTACTAAAATATAACATTTAATGGGTTCAACTAAAATAGGAGTAACTGAAAGGCACAGGAAAATAATGGGAAAAAAGAATAGAAAAGAATTTGCTATACCGTTGCTATATTGAAAAGGAAATCGGAGTGGTAAAGGCACTGGGATTTAAAATAAGAATATACTGCTAAATTACTATATTGGAGAAATGTTGCAAAGAAAAGTATAACAATTTAACCAGGTCCATAAAAAGGAAGTGCAACACAAAGAAAAGAAACAAAGTAGCAATCTGTGCAGTTACAACATATCTCATTAGTGAACCTCAAAAACAGGGGGTGATATCACCCAAATGTCTTGAAAACCACATATATGTCCCTGTAGTAGCAGTATATTGATTAGCAAAAGTGAATGTACTAATGTGTACAGATAGAGCAATATTGGGATAAGTAGGTAGATTGTGGAATGTGCATATGGTACCTTGAGAGATGAGAAACGATATAAGGTGGAGCGGATCTAACGTATAAATTAGCGATAGGTAATCCCTAAATCTGTGCCTAGAAGGGCCCTTAAATGTCTGCTACAAATATATTATTTTCCCGAACCTTTCAGTTACTCCAATTTTAATTAAACTCATTAAATGTTATATTTTAATAATTTTGTCTATTTCGGTGGTACTATTAGGACAGATCACATTTTTCTGTTTTCCAATTTCTAATTTTATCCAATGGTTACTCCCTAGTGTCTGTCCTCGATACTTTTGATATAGTATTTCGCTTCCACCTGTTTTTTTTTTTTTTTACATTATCCCCCAAAGGTCTAAACTAAAAATGTTCCTTTGCCTCCTTCCTTTAAGAGTTTGAATATATTGAAAAGAACTTTATCCATGATGTTAGGTTTAACCACCTTTTGTTGAAGATATATTCTTTGTAGTTTTTAAACAATTTATAATTTTCTTATATGTATCTTATAATCTTGTTAGCACTACCAAGACACTCACTTAACATCACATCATATTTTCACCTATTAGATATATTGCACTTTGACAATTTCCTATTGTTCTTTATAAGATTGAAGGATAATTCACATAGCACTTTAAAAATTATACTTATAACTTATAATACTTATGTGCACTTTATATGAGACTGTTAGTTCATTCCTAATCAGTTGATCACATATGCACTTTAGGCATACTTATATGCACTTTATATGAAGATACACTTTACATGAGACTCTAAATCAGCTCCAAATTAGATTATCACACATGCACCTTAGCTACATCTAGCACTTTTCCTACATTTTTTGAACTTTTTAAACACCATGTGATTTAATTTATCACTATTCAATAGGGACAACAAGATAATGTTGTCACATATGTTTTGTTATATTGTGCTATAACAACTAATTTTTCTTTGTTTGTATTACTTGAACCCAAAATGGCAGTCAGATGTCTCCTTGGATCAAGCAGTTATTACCACAATAATTAGAAATGATATCCCTGTATGTGATGTTTTTGGAAGTATTTATCCAATTGCTGTTTAAACATCTGTATGGACTCTGATAAAACCACCTCTTCAGGCAGAGAATTCCATATCCTTCTAGTTCTTACTGTAAAAAAACCTTTTCTTTGCCTTAGATGAAATCTCCTTTCTTCCAGCCTAAATGCGTGACCTTGTGTCCTATGTGTAGCCCTGTTTATGAATAGATTTCCAGACAATGGTTTGTACTGGCTCCGAATATATTTGTATAATGTTATCATATCCCCTCTCAGGTGCTGTTTTTCCAAACTAAAGAGATTTAAATTTTTTAACCTTACTTCGTAACTAAAATGCTCCATTCCTTTTATGAATTTCATAGCTTGTCTCTGCACTCTTTCTAGTGCAATGATATCCTTCTTTAGAACCAGCGATTTATAAAGAGGCAAAATTATATTTTTATCCCAAGAATTTAGGCCCCTATATATACATGACAAAACCTTACTGGCCTTAGCAACTGCAGATTGACATTGCATATTGCTGCCTAATTTGTTGTCTATAACAATTCCCAAATCCTTCTCGTGTGTGGTTATCCATAATTCATTACCATTTAGGGTGTAAGTTGCTTGTGCATTCTTGACCGCGAATTGCACAACTTTGCATTTCTCTACATTAAATTTCATCTGCCATTTTAGTGCCCAGGTGGGGGAGCTTGGGAATACTCAGGAGGTGGAAAGTATGGAACTGGGGGAGGAGGTGGTGGCTGCAAGTACCCTGGAGGGAGATATCCATAAGTAGCAGCTGAGGGATTAGAAAACCGGGGGAGCAGTGGCCTATATAACCTAGGGTGGGGGCAATCTCTTCGGAAGTGGCCAACCTGATGACAATTATAACAGGTTCTGGCTGCGGGTGCCCGATCCCGAGTAGGAATCGAGGCCTGTGGCACGGTATAACCTTGGGGAGCATGGGCAGGCCCAGTGATAGGAACTGGGGCGGTAAACATCAGTGGGTTAGCTCTTCTCTGTACGGGCTGTAACACTGACTCTAAACCTTTAGCTACCAACAAAAGGGTGTCCAGAGGGATAATTCTATACTCAGGGCGAGAGAGGATTAAACCCTTACGAATGTGTTCTTTCAGACCAGCCACGAAGGCTGCGGACAGCATCTGGGTGTGTACTTTGTTGTATGTACTAAACCCTAGATCTGAAAAGGTTTGGGTTAGTCGTGAATGATATTTCTCAACTGACTCAAGCTTGTCCTGACATCATTGAAACTCCTCACCATTATTGGCCAATAGGCATCACCAGCTTTAATTTCACACAGACTATAAAGATCCCGCCAAGCAACGGAGTACGTCTTGCGGATTTGAGCCATTCTGCGGAAGAAGGGCATTGGCTGTTTCTCTGGGTCAGGGAGGGAAGTAACCAAAGTGGCAGCTTGTGAGGGGTTGAACGTGACATACATAGGTGGAGCACCTTCGGCAACAGGGGATATCTGGAGATGCACTCCGGAGGTGGCCTGTCTCTGTGAGAGTCTATTACCCTGAGGGCGGAGCGGGCTACGCTCTTCTGCATCATCATCCCCGGGAGCAACGGGGCCCTGATAGGAAGCAGCATCAAGGGAAGCGGGGGCTGGAGCGGCCGGAGTGTCAGGGGCCGGGAGACCAGTGACAACGTTATGGGGGGTGCCCAACTGTGACGTAGTAGGATGGAAGCCTGAAGCTGCCGGAGAGACACCCATCGCATAGGGTTGGCCCAAAGTGGCAAACTCATCAGAGCCGACCACCATGAGCGGGTAACTGGGATTCGCATTAGGGGTATACGGGACCAGGGCCATGGAGGAGGCAGGGGTAGGGGCAGGCTGGGTTGGGCGTGACAGGTGAGCAGTCAGGGCATGAGCGAGGGCAGATAACGGGTCGGAGGTACCAGGGGCTGGGGCAGATGGGGTAAGGAAAGGTGAAGCAGGGGAAGCCGGAGTAGAGGGTTGGGACTTGGTGGCGTAGAGGGTGGAGAGTAATGACGACAGATCGGTCGGTGAGACAGCGGGAAGAACATCGGGAGGTGTAGTAGGAGGGGCGGGGGTAGTGGGACGAGCTAAGGACGAGAGGACAGAGAGGAGTGACGACAGGTCAGTGGAAGGAGGATCAGAAGATGTAGTGGAAGGAGTAGGGGTAGAAGGTGTGGGGATAGTAGGATAAGCTAAGGCTGAGAGAGCGGAGAGAAGAGATGAGAGGTCTGTGGGAGGAGAAGAAGGTGGAGGAGGAGGATGAGAGTCGGAAGGTGTAGTGGGAGGAGTAGGGGTAGCAGAGTGAGGGTTGTAGGATGAGCTAAGGCTGAGAGGGCAGAGAGAGGAGATGAGAGGTCAGTGGGAGGAGAAGAAGGAGGAAGAGGAGGAGAATGAGAGTCGGAGAGTGTAGTGGGAGGAGTAGGAGCAGTAGGAGTGGGGGTGGTAGAATGTGCTAAGGCTGAGAGAAGAGATGTGAAGTCAGTGGGAGAAGGGTTTGAAGAAGTAGGGGAAGGATCGGGGACGGAAGGGATATCAGGGATTGCAGGAGGCAGAGTCGAGCGATGAGGAGATTCGAGAGCGGCAGAAATGGCAGAGAGGAGGGAGGATAACAAGACAGCAGGAGTAGTAGGAGATGAACAGACTGGGGTGGTAGAGGTAGCAGAGGAAAGAGGCAGAGCAGTGACATCAGGAGGCGGTGGCAGGTGCTAACGGGACGGGATCAGGGATGGGGGAGGAAGGACTGAAGAGGGAACAATAGGAACAGGCGGAGATAGTGAAAGGGGTGGGGGACAAGGAGATAGAAGAGGTGGAGAGGCATCAGAGGGAGCTGGGAGGAGGGGTGATGACGGGGCCTGGTCGGGGGCAGTGGGAAGCTGGAAGGAAGGCTGGGATGTAGGAGTATGAGGAAAGGAATGTATCGGTACTGGGTAATAATAGGCTCCACCAGCTCCGAGCACGGGACACAAGGAGGTGGGGACCTGACCTACACCACAAGGAGGTGGTGTCTGGGCGTTAACGGGGGAAGCTGGGTGGGAATTAATCAACACGCTCTGGGCGCCATCATAGGGCGGTGGTTGGGAAACAGTGGGGGATACATCATCATTACAAACATTACGGTGATATATGTTAATCGTTTGCCCCTCAAAGTCTAACTCTTCCTCTGTCCAACCCTCCCGTTTGAGACCTCTAGCGACCCGGTACCAAGCCTCTACGGCTTTCGGCAACCCGTTATCCAACAATAAACCCTCTTTGTCAACAAGCAGTTTCCTCCAAAACTCAGGTTGCAACCTACCACTAGGCGACATTTGAAAACCACAAAGCTTAGCTATTTTCTTAATTTTCAACCTAGCATCTTCTCTTGCTCTTTCTCTTACAATATCACAAGCCAAAAATCCCTTAGCAGGTCTAGCATGTTCCTGTCCCATCTTGACCAAACAAAGGGTTCCACGTGACAGGGACAGGGGGAGGGAGAAGAAGTAAGAGGAAAGTCTACAGTGCTCGACTGCCACGAGGACCTGGGTCCTGTGCGTCTTCCCTAAACGTAGACTAGTCACAGGGGTCCGCCCACCCGAGATGGTGGTCACGGACCGGAGCGAGCGAGCGTGGGTGACTAACACAGCTCTGGGTAGCAGGCACAGGAAAGATAAAGAACAAAGGAAAAGATAAACGTGGTAACACTAAGCAAAAGGCATTTACAGAAATCACACACATAGAGATGAGTGTAAACCCCAGAATCCAGGATCAGCCACACGACACACACGCAGACACCAAGGGTACCCACACTGTAGCAACAATTAAACAAAATCCACAGAATGACAGAGAATAATATGGCCATGTACATATTAAAACAGAGAGTACCAAACAGCAAATAGTAACAATCCCAGCCTTTCTCTCTAGGCTGTAACCCTGTAATCCGACCCTTTAACAGGTCTACAGTAAAAATCCCACCTTACACCAGGTGGTACCCAGCCCTTTGTCGGCTGTATCCCAGGCCCTTACCGGCTGTACGTAATACCCCAACCCTGTTACCCGGGTGGTTCCCAGCCCCCTGCTGGCTGTACGTAATACCCCAACCCTGTTACCCGGGTGGTTCCCAGCCCCTTACCGGCTGTATGTGTCCCCTGCCCGCTAGGCAGTCAAGCTAAAGTTTAGAAAGAAAACACATACACTGGCCATCACACACATTCATACAAACACTCAGGAGACAGATAGACAATCGACAGGTTCGTTAAAAGAGGCACCGGATAAGGGATTACCTGTCTTGTAGCCTTTTGGAAGCCGGAAGTGGACGCGGAGGCAGACTGACACAAAACAGTAGAATACAGGCAACAGCTGTATTGTGGAGGTGATCGGGCTCCGGTTGTCCCACTTTCCGGAGGTCCGCTCCAGTCCGTTGGTTTCCGGCCCTCCGAACCGGCAAATCCGGAGCCCCACGTTGGGCGCCAATTGAAGTGGAAATTAATCAATAAATTGATTATTTTGTGTATCTGCCCCTGGCCAAATTAAAGAAACAGTGCGTGCACGCTCCCTGAAGTAATTCACACCAGACACAAGTTTCAGGTTGATGAAAAACTTGGGGAATGTTTATTCAGAGGGGACGGCAAGTCCCTTTTAAAGCAAAATTACATCAAATGCATTGTCAGAGATAACATGAAATAATACATCATTAATTGGTTAGGTGTTAAGTGGTTCTCTTAATGCTCTGCCTACAAGGGGTGATGTCGCTGGTATCATGAGGGTCTCCCCCAGATTCCAGCGCCATCTTGTTACAGGAGGTAGTTAGTCGATGTTAGAGGGGAAGCTCTTAGCGGCCATTTTAATTAATCACATAAAAGTAGAATAATATGATTCCTCGAGGCTGTCCAGACAGTTAAAAAGCAGAGGGACCCCTCACTACTGTGAAGTCACTGACCCACAGACGGGGAGACTCTCTCAAGGTCTGGGCTGCAGTCAGAGGGGATGGCTCCTGTCACTCTTGCCATCTATGCAACCTGATGCTCTCTTTTAATAACTTACACCATTAAAACCACTTGCATAGCTTAAGCCTTGTATATAATTTATTTTTATATTAATTTAGTTCTGCATTGAGTCATAGACACAAATCCAGCAAAGCAACCGTTTCTTGAAGCTTGATGTTTAACCTACTCTAACTACACTAACATAGCTAATCTAGCATTGTTAAGCATTAATAGTTTTATTTACTTTTACTCTGACAATATACCCGTTTAGTCCAGCTTGCTATAAAAATATAGAAAAATGTGCGAATTTTCATGCCACTGCCTAACTTTTGTAAATCCTGCAATACGCTGTTGTGGCGTCTGTTGATACCCTGTAACCACCTGCACAACAAAAATAAAGAATTAAAAAAAAAAAAAGTAGAATAATACTGATTATCGTTAAATGAGTAAATAGACATTTTACTAGCTAAAAATTAGGTTAATATCTTATTTCCACAACACACAACTTTATGTTTCACCCCGAATAAAGAAATACATTTCCATTTTAGTTTTAGTAATTAATTTCTATTTTAGTTTAGTAATTTAATTTTAATTTTATTTCTCTCCAGCTGAGTTTGCCAAGTGTCAGAAGGGGAACAGAGACCCTGGCTTCATAGCATATGCAGAGTCTCCTAAGGACAGAATTAGAAATAATAGAGTGAATGTATATTATAAAAATGTTATATATTTTATTTTGAAAAATAAAACACTTTTAGAAAGCAGATGTCATAGTAGGGTTTGGCTGAATACCTGAGATTTCAGCCACATTCCATTCTATTATCATCTACATTCAAGAAGGACCAGAAACTTTATATATCACAGCATGTTGTAGTCAAAGTGCAATATATTTGAACAGTTGACATATTAGCTATAGTGATGTCGCGAACACGAAATTTTCGGTTCGCGAACGGCGAACGCGAACTTCCGCAAATGTTCGCGAACCGGCGAACCGCGCGAACCACCATAGACTTCAATGGGCAGGCGAATTTTAATACACACAGGGACTCTTTCTGGCCACAATAGGGATGGAAAAGTTGTTTCAAGGGGACTAACACCTGGACTGTGGCATGCCGGAGGGGGATCCATGGCAAAACTCCCATGGAAAATTACAGTTGATGCAGAGTCTGCTCTTAATCCATAAAGGGCAGAAATCACCTAACATTCCTAAGTCACACTGAATATGGATTGACACCTGACATATGACATATTGACACCTTGACATATGGATTGACACCTGTCCTCAGAGCCCCTGATGCACACGGACACAGAGCAGAATAGAGACTGGTCCCCCTACATAGGGTCACTTGGCAGATATGGATTGACACCTGTCCTCAGAGCCCCTGATACACACTGACACAGAGCAGAATAGGGACTGTTCTCCTACATAGGGTCACTTGGCAGATATGGATTGACACCTGTCCTCAGAGCCCCTGATAGACACTGACACAGAGCAGAATAGAGACTGTTCTCCTACATAGGGTCACTTGGCAGATATGGATTGACACCTGTCCTCAGAGACCATGATACACACTGACACAGAGCAGAATAGGGGCTGTTCCCCCTACATAGGGTCACTTGGCAGATATGGATTGACACCTGTCCTCAGAGACCATGATACACACTGACACAGAGCAGAATAGAGACTGTTCCTCCTACATAGGGTCACTTGGCAGATGGATTGACACCTGTCCTCAGAGCCCCTGATACACACTGACACAGAGCAGAATAGGGACTGTTCCTCTTACATAGGGTCACTTGGCAGATATGGATTGACACCTGTCCTCAGAGACCATGATACACACTGACACAGAGCAGAATAGAGACTGTTCCCCTACATGGTCACTTGGCAGATATGGATTGACAC